TCAAAGTCAATTTTTATGTCACACCTTTTTTGCTTTTAAAGTTAATTTGTGGCCAGCTGATTTATTAATTTTTGGAAGTGTCGTCATCGTTATAATTAATTTTGGTTTTTATTTCTATAGTTTCAATTTAGGACGTTGTCTTTGTATTCGCACTGCCTCCCTAACAACTTTATGATTTTTTTTCGGCCTTTCATTTTAATTTATAATTTATAGTTTTTATGGTTCTTTTATTTAACAACTATCCTTGAAACATGAAGGATTGTAAGTCTTAAATCATTTTTGATTTGAAAAAGGTTGATTATTTCAACAAAAATTACGGCGTGCTTTGTGCCTGCGGCGGGACATGAAACAAGACCCGTTTATGCAATCGTTTCTTGGCCAAAATATAGAAATTGGTCCGGCCCATCTAGCTTCATTGGCCGTTACAAGACCTCCCGGGGCCCTTTCGGCGTTTTTTTTCTCAAACGTGAAAAGCAAACATTGTACAAATGCATAAAAATGTACCATTTCGTTATCGGCATCCTGTAAACGGATGCACTTTTGTTTAACAACGTTATGAAACAAATTATACCGAAATGCACGCTAAAAAAAAAATCATTCCGCTTACGGAGCGAGTCTCCGGTTCTACTGGACCGTATTTAATGATCTCTCTGTCTTTTTCTCTCTTTTTTTAATATACTATTATTCACCTTTCATCGAGCATCAATGAAATCGTTTCCGGGTCAAAAATAAAACCAACGAGTTTAAAATCTCATCCACCTGGACAATTTGTTGTAAATAGTTATTAACTGTGACAATGTTTGTAATCAATGTAAATCTACAACTTGGAACCGCTAGTTATAGCAGTCAACAAACTGAAAAGTCGGTTACTATGTTCATTCTGAACTGAATTTGTATCAATCAATTAATAACGCAATTAAATTATATTGTACTTAATTGACCAGTTCTACAAAAACACCTATTACAAACAGATTTGGTTATACTTAATTGTATTTTATTACATATTCATAGACATTTCCATAAAAACCACCCCATAAAAAACAACTTTTATAATTGATTATCACTACAAAGTTAACGGGTCCAAAAACAATGGTACTATGTATAAATTGACTACTACTTAGATAGCGCCTACAAAAACAATCTCACTGTTTCAGATTTTACATCTCCACCAAGAACAATGCAAATATGTTAGAGTTTACAAAGAACTACAAAATTTTTTTTTACAAAAAACCATATATTTGTGCCATAATTGACTACCACCGTAAAGTCAAACCCACCAAAAACAATCTGAGTCAGAATCTACAGTTACTTGAAAAGACTTTTTACCAACAAAAAATCTAACTATATCAGAATTTACTTTTAATACAAAGAAAAATCCATCCAAAACTATCGAGCTATGTCTGAATTAATGATACCAAAAGCAATCTAAATCAGCCTAATTTTATTGCAAAAGACAACTTCTTCACAAACAATCGAACTCTAAACCCACCAAATACAATCTAATTGTCTGGAATTTCCATTTTTACTTTTACTTAAAAAGAAAATAATTAAAAAATATATTAAAAAAACTCCACCAATAATAACCTAGTTCTGATGAAATTATCCAATTTTGTCGCAAAGACAACTTCTCGAAAAACACTATAACAGTATGAGATTATACAACTACAACAAAGACAACTCCACCAAATACAATCTAATTGTGACAGATTATACAACTGCAACAAAGACAACTCCACCAAATAAAATCTAAATGTGACAGATTACACAACTTCAACAAAGACAACCCCACCAAATACAATCTAACTGTGAGAGATTTGATAAGTCAAACAAGGGCAAATCTACCAGAAACAATCTAACTTAGTCAGAATTGATTACCACTGCAAAGTTAAACCACCAAAAATAGCTGAACTGTGTGTGAATTTTCTACTTTGTAAATTTACAAATCTACCAAAAACAATGTAACTTTTCAGGATTTAGTTTTACTACAAAGACAACTCCACCAAATCCCATCTAACTGTGCCAGATTTCATAAGTATAATGAAGACAAATTTACCAAAAACAATGTAACTTATTCTGAATCGATTTTTTTATGACAAAGAAAAGTCCACAATAAATCGTCTGTGTTTGAACTAATTACCACTTTAAATTTAACACCGCCACAAACAATCTGTCCGAATTGACTACTATTACGATGATGAAGCGAGTTTACAATGCACCAATACTCAGATTTTTGACTCTTTTTATCAAAAATTCGTATTCTAAAGCCAAACGTTAAGTACGTAAGTTACATTGATAAAGATAGCACTTCGAATTTTAGGCCAAAGACTAGATAAACTAGACTGCCTTTGTATCCAATTGTATTTTTTAATTGTTTGTACCGATTTAATAAGCAGTTGTGGCAACAAGGAGTGATATAGGACAAACTGGCTCAGTGTCCAAACTGTGGCCAGTTGATATCGAACGTTTTTATCGTTTGCATTACCTNAATTATTTTGATTAAAGAACATTGCTTTAAAGTAACTAGTTTCTTTTTTTTTGTTTAATACCAAAATCCTGCATTATTTTCCGGACAACCCAATACAAAGACAACTCCCCAAATTGACCAGAAAATTAAAATAATAGAAACAACAACAAAAACCTTAATATTAATTGAAGTAATATTCCTACAGGACTACAAAGACAACTCCTGAAATTGTCCAGAAAATTAAAATAATACAAACACCAACAAAAACCTAAATATTAATTTTACTAATATTATTATAAATCTTCCATACTAAATAAGCAATACCTCACGAAAAGTACTAAAATTCACTGTAACTATAAAAAAAACTCAACGATGAACACTAATTGATTATAACTATTGCGGTACCCCTCCACAAAGATGTAAATATTAATTGAGGATTCAAAATAATAAAAACATTAGTACCAATAAAGACATATATCCAAATTGACTATGACTAACGCACAAATACAACGACTAATACTATTTATTGTACATAACTACAAGGCACCGTCATGAGATTGGTCAAAATATCCTGGGAGTACAGTTAGTAAGAATACAATTATCGACCAGGAGTTTTTAATTCTTCATGTAAATCATGGATGTGTCATTTTATCGTAAAAAAAATTAAACCACATCCCTGATCTAGAGTTAAAAACTTCTGGTCGATAACTACATCCTTAATGATTATCAACGCTACGTTGCTTTTTCCACCTCCGCCATGACAATCTACTTTTTTCTAACAGTTTAGAAACTTACCGTGTAAAAACATTAATCCATCTAGAATTGAGCTACAATGACCTTACTATAAAGACAACGCCGCAATTTGTTAGACATTGCTTGATAAATAAACCACCAACACTGACCTAAATAATATTTGACAATTACTTTGAAATATTACCCAAATTAATTATTTACTACAAAGATGACACTACCTAATTGAGCTGGCTTCAAATTTACTTTAAAACCATGCTGAAGATATGGCACCACCAAAATTGACTATGAATATACAATCATCTACATCAATTAATGAATTACTACTTATACTTTTAACTACAAATACAAAAAAGACATGAAAAGGCAAAAATTAAATTTTATATAGTTACAGTTTTATTCTTCGAGAATTTATTGACTATTACTGCAAAGACAAACAACGACGTGAAAAGGCAGAAACTAAATTGTATATGGTTATAGTTTTGATCTTAGAGAATTTATTGACTATTACTACAAAGACAAACAAAGACACGAAAAGGCAGAAATTAAATTGTATATATTTACAGTTTTGTTCTTAGAGAATTTATTGAATTTTACTGCAAAGAAAAAAAGACGTGAAAAGGCAGAAATTAAATTGTATATAGTTACAGTTTTGGTCTTAGAGAATTTGTTGACTATTACTGCAAAGAGAAACAAAGACGTGAAAAAGAAGAAATTAAATTGTATATAGTTACAGTTTTATTTTTAGAGAATTTATTGACTATTACTACAAAGACAACGACCCAAATCGACTATAAATATAAAAGCATCTTGATCAAAAACCTAAATATTGATTAACGATTACTTTAAAAAAACCTTCGGTACTACATAAACTCATACAAATTACTTAAATTACTACAATGACCTTACTAAAAAGACAAAGGCCCAAATTGACCGTAACTATAAAAGCATTACTAACAAAGACCTAAATATTAATTGGGGATTACTGGAAAACTATCAGTACCTACAGAGACATCCCTAAAACTAATTATAACTATAGTTAGCTATTAATACAAAAGCAGCCTCAGATCGACCATAATTTTAAAAGTACCAAGGCCAATAACTTAATTGATGATTCCCAATCAAAAAAATCTTAAAAACATCAACCAAAAAAGATGACAGTAATCTGCTAATGCTAGTAAAATCTGCTTATCAATTATCACTGAATCACTACGACTAAAAAGTCTACTACGAAGACAACGTCCCAAATTAACTACAATCTCAATAAAATCTACTGAAATTGACATAAAAAGATCCTTTTTACCACTGTATCTTTTCTAAAAATGTGTACATTTTATTCTTTCTTCTAAACTATAAGGGTTTTATGTCAGAAATTAATATGTTAATGTTTCGTTTTCGAACAATAACTTTTGGATATGCTATTTCGCTGAGTCGTTAGCATGGAAATGTGTGGATCTTTTAATTATGTTTTATTACAGAGATTTTATTATTTTCTTTGAGATATAATATTGGCCTCTAGGGGTATCACGATCTAACAATTTTAATTTATCAAATGTGGGATTCAAGCTGAGAGTTTCTGTGTGTGTGTGTGTGTGCGTGTGCGTGTGCGTGTGTGTGTGTGTCCATGTTTCAAAGTCCGTTGATCCAATCGTTTTTCCAGGCGTTTCTCATTTACGGAAGAGTCTCGTGATCTGGAGGGATTTCGCAAAATGGAAACGTTCACTTGCGGTGAATCCGATTTGAGTCTAATCGGTCCAAAACGGCCTCTCTTTTCATTGCCGGGTCTCGTTCCTTTCACGGAATGTCGCTGGATAATAACATGCACGCTCACGAAAACACAATTTCACCGTCAAGGGCGAGCCGGAAAAAATCTATAGTTGCTGGTAATGGGTCTTTTTTTTCTAATTTCTTGGTCAACTGTGAAAACTGGGACCGCACAGTCTCGCTATTTATCCCTCCCCCGCCGGAAAAAAAAAACGGGCGTTGGTATAACTGCATCGGAATGAATCCGGACAACTGACGCATTTACGATTGCGTGTTACTGGGATGTTTCACAACAAAATTCGATTTTTGTCAACACTTTGATTATCTCTAATCATCTTGTTCATTTGTCGCCGCAGTGGCAAATGAAAAATGACTATTACGGCAACTCTACCAATGAAAGCTTAAACGTTACAAAATTGAAGATTACCTCAAAAACAAGTTCTACGTGCAAATGTGACTAGACTACAAATTCAACGATATCAGCAAACTGTTTGAATTTTCTACTGACCATAATCAAAAATAATTTTTCACCTAAAAACCGAATATAATATACTTACAAAGACGGTCTAGGACCACCAAAGATCTGACGGTCCATGACTTGATTTTTTGCACAAAGAAAACGACGGCAACAAAGATTTGCCTACTCTAGACTCGACTATATGGAAGTCAATGTTTTAATCAAAGGCAATACCACCAACAGTTTTCCCACTATTCATTTTTAATTATTACTCCAAAGAACAAGACACCAACAAAGATTTAACTATACTAGACTCGACTCTTATAGAAATCGACAGGTTAACCAACATCAACTATTTTCTCCTATCCATGTCTTCTTTATTACTACGCAGAGCAAGTCACCAACAAAGATTTTATTATACTAAATTTGGCTAAGATAGATGTGAACACCTTAAACAAAGACATCACAAGGATACACAAAGACGACACCAACCAAGATTTGACTCCACTAACCTCGACTGTCATAGAAGTCAATGTTTTAACCAAAGATATCGTCACCACCAAATTTCTCACTGTCCATGTCTTAATTGTTAATACATAGAACAAGACACCAACATAAATTATTACTCACTGCCCATGACCTTGACTATTACCACAAAGAATACGACAGCAACAAAGATTTGACTCCACTAAACTCGTCTGTAACAGAATTCAAAACCTTTAACATAACATCATCAAAAAAGATCTACAAACTGTCCATTACTTGATTATTACTGCAAGGCACACGACACTAACAAAGATTTGACTGTACTAAACTTGGCTATCATAGAAGTGAACATCTAAAACAACAAACAATTACAAATAGTTTAAAACAAAAGACCAAAAAAGCCTCCCCATCTACACATTAACTGCCATTAATATAAACAAGCCTACACACAAGAGTTGATTATAACTGCGAAGACAACACAAAAAAAATATGTTGTCGCCAATGGTTTGACTATCACCGTAAAGCACATACACCAACCAAGATCGTACTACACTAAACTCGACTATAATGCAGGAAAGCTAAAATCAAAGACACCACCAACAATTATTTGACTATCAATGACTTAACCTCACAGAACAAAATACCAATTATTACTACACTAGATTCGTCATGGACGTCGACGCCTTAAACAAAGTCAACACCCCAACAAAGTTGTAAATGATCCATGACTATCTATTACCTCAAAGAACATGGCACCAACAAAGATTACTATACTAGATTTGACAGTCATGGACGACACCTTAAACAAAGACAACACCACCAAAATAATTTAACTCCACTTGACTCGACTGTCATAGAAGTCACCTTTTTAAGCAAAGACATCATCACCAATTTTTTTTTAACTTGGCCTAAATTGACTATTATTACAAACTGACGAACTGAGTCTAAATGCACCAAAATTTGTTCTCTGTTTCTAATTATTTTCTGAAAAACGAACTTCCTTTTCTAGGTTTTTTGGAAACGTTTTCCTCCTCCTCTCTCTCTCTCTCTCTCTCTCTCTCTCTCTCTCTCTCTTTTTCCCTCTCCCTTTTTCTCTCTCCATTTCACTCACTCTCACACACACACACACTCTCTCTCTCTCACTCACACTCTCTCTCTCTCTCTCTCTCTCTCTTTCTCTCTCTTTCTCTCTTTCTCTCTTTCTCTCTCTCTCTCTCTCTCTCTCTCTCTCTCTCTCTTTCTTTTCTTTTCTTTCCCAAATATAATGGGAGATATAAATAGAATAAGATCTTCGAAAATGAAATAATAAAATAATATTTTTTTTTAGAAATTCTAACAATCATGCCAATATGATAATTTATGCCCATCGAATTTGTCAATGTCATCAAAATCCCAATTCGGTATTGATATAATTGTAAAGCAACCCTATGAGGATGTGGGATTGGCGACGGGGATTATCGTATTTACATCACTCCTCTTCAGTCACGTTTTCTTTTCGGGCTATTGCAAACAGAACGTGAGACACGAACCAACAACAGTCAACGTCGGGCTTTTAGCTCGAACCGCTGTTTTACAATAAAAAGAAAACGAAAAAACTATGCGTTTACCACCCAAACACTGCAATCGGAAGGCGGAGAAGATATTCGAGACAATAATTTTTGAAAACGGCCGTGAATACATTTTAATGGGATTTGTTTTTTTGTTTTTTCCTTCAAGAGATGCAATCAGGAATTGCAAAACTTTTATTGTGACGTATAATTTAGGCGATGGAATGGAAATTGTTTGACCTTTCAACTGTACAAAAAATAAAAAGTGAATTCCCTCAGATATTGACGCACAGTCGTGTACTTCCTCATCGAGTCAATGATTCGTCTTTTCAGTCTCCAGCCTCTGGCTACTTAAATGAAAATTGCTTTTTGCCGGTTTAACTTTCAAAATCCTCAATAATTTACATTCATTAGTTTAAACCTATTGACGAATGAAGTAATTGCCATGAGTGTCATATTATTTAAACTTTTATTTAAAAAAAAAAACAGTGATAAAACTTGTAAACTGAAGAAATACACTTCAAATAGTATTCATAATCGCTGTTTATTAAATTACGGGCTCTCATATCAAAGCGATAGTAACATTTGAACAGTGACTAACTGACTAATTCCTAAGAATATTGACTGATATTAAATGACAGGAAATGCTGGCGCAACCATTCGAGTGTAAATATATAAGATTTATTCTGGTCCGCATGATTTCGCTTTTTAGGAGGAGGAGACGCATTTCGCCCTTTTTGCCTTCTTCGATACATGTCGGCACGTTGTACTTTTTTTCCCAATCTGGAGAAAGTCATTCGAGAAGAATCGGCGTTGGTTTTTTTGTTTCATGGCATTGCCCTTCGTCGTTGTAGTTAGTCAGGAGGTTGTTGGGTCTTTCAGCTGATACGCGGATATAGTTTATTATTTATATTAAAAGTTGTTGTGTAATAAAATTAAACCCGAGCGTTTTGGTACGGCCTTAAACTCAATTCTGGGATTGGTCAAGTCTTTGTTGTATCAGTCAATAAATTATGGAAGTTGAGTTTTCGTTGTGTAAATCATTTTATGTCTAGTTGACCTTCTGTTGGTAGCATTGCGTTTGTGGTAATGGTTTATTTAGAAGTAGCTATATCTTTGTTGTTGTCGTCATCTTTGTAGTAGTAGTTATGTAAATAAAGGACAATTTTTGCAGGTAAATTGCTTTGTGTCAGTCATAGCAAAATTCAATTCTAGGAATGTTCAAAATTTTTTTGTACCAGTCAGTAAATTATGGTAGTTGCGTTTTTCTTAGAAAATGTTTTCTTTGTAGATTATGACATTTATGCCTATATATGGCTTTTTATTTGTATCGTTGTCTTTTAGTAATGGCCAATTTAAAAGTAACTTGGTCTCCTTTGTTTTCGTAGTATTTATTCAAATGGTAGTTGTATCATGTTGTTTTTGTATTTTATTTATTTATTTTTTTAATTTATTGCTATCTGTATATGTTATGAAGCAAAATTAAACTCGAGTGTTTTGGAAGTTGAGTTTTTGTTGTTTAAATCATTTTATGTCTAGTTGATTCTTTGTTGGTAACATTGTCTTTGCAGTAATAGCAAATTTAGAAGTAGCTGCATCATTGCTGTTATTGTCGCCTTTGTTGCTATTACTCAAATGATAGTTGTCTTTGAAAAAATGGTCAATTCCTGTTGTGCTTTTACTTTATCATACTTTATCATCGTACTTGTCATACCCACCGTTAATTCTGAAATAGTTTAAGACTTTTTTGTAGCGGTCAATAAACATACTTGAAGTTTTGTTGTTTAATTAATTTTATGTCGTGCTGAGACTTTGTTACCAGCATTGTAAGATAATTTAGAATTAGTTGGACTTTTTTGGTTGTCGTCGTATTTGTACTATTACTCAAATGGTAGTTGCGTCATGTTGCTGACTTTGTAGTAATAGTCAATTTCCATAGGACCTTTGCTTTATGTCAGTCGTAGTTGATTTAAACTTAACAAAGATACAACAGTAACAAATCTAAAATTATAAAAATGTCAAGGCGAATACTAGTCATGTAAAAACATAAAAAATAACATGTACATAACATAAGCATATTTAAAATGTATGCCTGTATAGAGAGAAAAAACTGAATTTCAATTGTGTTAAACATATCAATGGTAGTATGCTTATTACTAACAGTTTAAATTCTAGAAATGCCAGAGTGAAGAGAGTAATTATACTTTTTTGAGTGTGGACTGAAAAAGGAAGGGGATTTCGATTGTTGTGAGACCTGACATTGAAAGTGATTAGGCTTAACAATTGGAGGTTACTCAATTTTGGCTATAGATAAGGCTATAGAGGAGAAGTGAATCGGTTTGCTCCCTTCTAAGGTATAAAGGTAACTGGTTTAGAATTAAGTTCAAGTGATCGTAACAAATATCCTCGGAAGGGACTTTTAATTTAAAAGCAGCCTATCTTAAAAATTTAGCGTGGACTCTTTCAAGTTTGGTACAAAGATACTTTTGATAGGGTGTCCAGATAGGAATACCTTAAACGACTACGAATTGTGGAGGAAAATAAATTTTTTGTCATATGTTTCTAAAGTATTGTAGTATATATTATGTAAGATGTATTGTATTTCAATGGTAATCATGTTTTTGTTCGT